TATATATATATAGTCTTTGAAATATAGATGATATCTGATTCACTTACCTTGCAGTATAATTTGATTAATTATGTGAATGTGTAGTTTAAAAATGCATGGATGTTAATGCAGGATTAGCTTTTGCTGAAACCCCAATCTGAACACCAAATTTACACAGAGAGGGTCTGTCTGAAGTCACAGGGCCTTGGGGCAGCAGCAGCAACAGCAGGAACTGGCGATTGGCTAAAAGGCAGACTGCCTGGTGGAGCCTCCTCTACTCTCCAGACTGTAGAATGCTGCCACCACAGTGGTTTGGCTACCAAAGGGCATCAGCTGGGAACTTCAGCTTCACACTGGGCCAGTTTCACGAGTGAGCAACCTGTGCAGCTGCAGTTAGAAGGGTTCCATGCTTGGTGTATTGCTCTATTGACACTGTCTTGAAATTCTTAATCATTTCTTAACAAAGGACCCTGCATTTCCATTTTGCACCGAGCTGGGCAAATTATGTAGCCCAGTCCTGGCTTTAGAATCCATTTGGATTTTTGTTTCTTCTGACAAACAGGAATGAAATTTACTTGTGGTTAGGCACTGGCCCAGGAGTGAGCATTTCTAGAACTGCCTTGACCTGCTCCCTGCCAAACGGTTCCTTCTGTTTAGTATCCATCTGTTGGGCCCACTATAACTTCCAGAAACCTGGCTAAGTCTCCAAAGAGAGCCCTGCTGAGTTGCATTTGACCCCAGCAGCACTGCCATTCTGTCAGCAACCTTCATGTTGTTACAGGTGGGAGACTTCCCTCCAGCCTGATTCCAACCAGTGGTGTATAAAGGAGCTCCTGACCCTACCTGGTGGGTATCTTGGGTCCCTGAGGATGCTTTTCCAGAGTGGACAGAGGACAGAGGAGGTTAGAAAAAGATATCAATCAAAAAGCAAGAATGCTCACTCAAAAGTGAACTACCACTGAATGTTGCTTAACCGCCCTGAGCCTGTTTCCTCATCTGTGAATGGGGCAAGCAGAGAGGTA